AATATAATAAACATATATACATAACTATATAAATCACATATAAATATAGCATTATATAATAAAAGAATACATATATACATAAAAATATACTATAAATATACATGATCATATATGATATATAAATACATAAATACAATATATATACATATATATATATCCATATCAAAATACATATATTAATCTATATCAAAATATAAATATATATATAAAATAAATAAATATATATAATAATATACATATATACATACATATATACATATAACATATTACATACTATATACATACAATATACATACAATATACAGTACATATATACATACATATATACAAATATGTATATATGTATGAATATATGTATGTAAATAATTTCTGTATATATGTATGTAAATATGTATGAATATAATATGTATATAAGTAATGTATATAATGTATGTCAAGAATGTATGATATATGTAAGTAATATGTATGAATATATGTATGAATATCATGTAAGTATATGTATAAATCTATGATCAATGTATGAACATATGTAATAGAAAGGTATGTATAAATGTAAATAAAACTGTATATAAATCTATAAATATATATTATAAATATAAAAACTATATATCAAAATCTCTAAGATATAAAAATATGTATATATGTAATATATTCTAAATTAAAAGTATATATAATAAAAATATATAGAATAATAAACTATCTCACCTCTATCTGACACACAGAATACTCACACACATACACACTGACACACACTCACGATTCACTAACATACCACACTCCACTGAACACACATACACACACACACACACACACACACACACACACACATACACACCACACACTCACACACACACACACTCACACACACGCACACACACGACACAACACACCACACCACACACACATCCCATCACAAACCTATAAAACGACACACACCAGAGCCACAAACCCACCCACTACCAAACACAACACACACACACACACACACTCACAAACAAAGCACACACACTCACCATCACACTCACACACACACAATACCCCCATCAACCCCCTGCCAGACACCCACACCCCCCACCAATCCAATCTCCGCGCAAGCCTCATCCCCGCCAATACACACCCCCCAACTTCATTACAATACTTTACTTAATGAACTTCAAGCGGGGAGGATGCACCTTTGATAAATCTCTCACGAACCAAGGCGAGAAAATATGTCGGTTTATGGTGCTGGTATTATAAATATCTTTGCTATTTTTTCTTTCTTTTTTTTTCTTTATCAGCAGCCCTGCTAACTTTGCTGTGATTAATATGCATTGTGAGGCGTGGCTCTTAATGGTCAGGCAGGTGAATGCAATGGCAACGAATGTAATGCATTTTTTATCATCATTACTTCGGTTACTAGGATTATTGTCACTGTTATTGCAATTCTTTAACTATTGCTGTCATTATTATCATCATTGTTATTACTGTTAATCTTCATTTTTATAATAACAACGGCAATAATGTTGCTAATCAAATCTTCCTAAAAAAACAGCAACATATATCAAAATCATTGACATTACTATCATCAGTAATATCATTATTATTACTGTAATTACCAGCATTGCCATTATCATCATTATCATTCCAGTAATCAGCATTGTTATTATTTTCACCACTAATTGTATCTTATCATCACAATTATCGTTATCATCTTTATAACCATAATTCTTTTTAACGCAATTTCTGAACATTACTAATTGCGTTAAAAACTTTCTCGATGTTTCCAAATCATTCATATTCTCTGAACTTTTATCTTTAATGAAGTCACAAAAACAAATGTGTGTGCGCGCGCGCGCGTGTGTGTGTGTGTGTGTGTGTGTGTGTGTGTGTGTGTGTGTGTGTGTGTGTGTGTGTGTGTGTGTGTGTGTGTGTGTGTGTGTGTGTGTGTGATAAATTACTACACTGACATACAGACACTCAGATAGAAAGATTGACAATTGAACACACAGGAAAAGAAGAGAGAAAAAGAGAAAGACTGACGGACAGACAAACAACCAAACAACAAAGAGAGAGAGAGAGAGAGAGAGAGAGAGAGAGAGAGAGAGAGAGAGAGAGAGAGAGAGAGAGAGAGAGAGAGAGAGAAGAAAAAAGATCTTAGATTTCTTAAAAGCTTTATTCCCGTTGCGCTGATGCAAAACTCCCGCATTGCGAAAGAGTCGACATCTATACAGAAGAGGGAAGAGCAAGACCCGGTAAGAGAGAAGGGAGGAGGGAGGGGAGAGAGGGGGAGAGAGGGAGGGGAGAGAGGGAGGGGAGAGAGGGGGAGAGAAGGGGAGAGAGGGAGGGGAGAGAGGGGAGGAGAGGGGGGAAAAGAAGGGAGGGGAGGGAGGGGGGAGAAGAAGGGAGGAGGGAGGAGGGGGAGGAGGGAGGGGGATAGGGATTTGGGGGGAGGGAAGAGGGGGTAGGATGATGGGGATGATGGGATGGGTGGAGGGGGTATGGGGGAGGGTGGAGGGGTTAG